TGCTGGTAAGGCAGGAGTATCCTCAGGTTTGGAATTACTGAATTACAGCAAGATACAGAAACAATGTCCCTGTTACCATTACTAATCCACTCTCATGGGGACTACTTGTTCGGAAGAAAGCTGTTTAAGTAAAATTTAAGATACTTTGAGCACCACAAACTAAATGCCACTTACCTCTGTTATACCTGAAACAAATGAAACCTATACGACTTTACCTGGCCAGGTAATTTTAGGGGTAAGTGAGTAAATGTATGTTTTCTTTGCCAATGACCCTGTAAATCCAAAAGAACAAAACCAAGTGCTTGCATGCTCCCGGGAGCACGATTGCTGTTCATGTATCTCTTTTGTAAATGTTAGTCTTCGTCCATGCAGCCTGTGAACCAACAACCTGGCACATTCAGGTGACTTGTCTTTATCCCATCTTGTTCACAACTGTAGAGTAAGTATCTTGGGAGCGAGTGCGTTGGTTCAGTTGCTGCCAAAACACAACACACACAGTGTTAGCTTGATCACAGAGTCAAATAACTTCTAAAATGTGTGAATGTATTTGTTAATACATAATAACAACTATAAATCAGTCACCCTTGGCTTCCAGGGGCATTAGAAAACTGGTCATCAGCAGATTTTATGATGGGTTACGTCAATGACTTTTTTTGTCTTAAAGAGCCCAAACTGTCATTTTTACACTTCAGTTTTTGTATGAATTAAACAAATGATGTGCAAACTGTTCATTTACCGGTGCTGTTGGGCAGATTTTTTTTAACCAGGCCAGGCTAGGTGTTCTCCTGCTTCCACTCTTGATGCTAAGCTAAGCTAACCATCTATTGCTTGGCTGTGGTGCTGATCTTCTTATCTAACTCCAGCAGTGAGAATAAATATTTCCCAAAATGTCAAACTATTATTTTCAGTTCATAAAAACTTTTATAGCTAAAACAACATTATTGCTGAGTGTATTTTAAATCACTCTGGAGAAGAAAATGAAGTGCAAGAAATGCTTACCTCATATTCAGTAGATGAGCCAGGTTGACTCCGGACTGCTGAACGAGCAGGTACTGTAAGATAATGACAGAAATATGTGTGACCAATCACTACTGCTATCAGACTCAGTACCTACTTAATAATAATGATGATGCATTACTTTAACAGTAAAAATCTATTTCACACCCAGTTTAACACTTTAAAATGGGTGAAATAGGATTTGCAAGAGCTGCATCAGCTGAAAAGTGCAGATAAACTGCAGACACGACTGAAAAATCAGCATGTATCAACACAAAAAGATGCACAAGTGCTCCAGTCGAAGGCGCATTAGGCAAAATTTTTAGATAGAGGTGTAAAGTTGTGTAATGCTGTGCTTTTCTGTGATCTGTTTCTTACGTTTGGGAGTGTGATTGAGTCCAGCTGAACTTTTCTTCTTGGTGTATTTGAAGACAATCATCATCACAACAGCTGTGATGGCCACGTCCGCAATGATGGCCGTTAAAAACAGAAGCGCATCCAGCTCAAAACAATTTTCACACGCTGGAGGACAAAGAACAGCAGTCAGACAAGGTAAAGCTCAGTGAGACTGGCACAGACCATGAGAATGGTGGTGGATGGTGGGTTAGCTGGCGGGGACCGCCGCGCCGGGTTTGCCCTGGAGGAGTAGAGAAGTGGAGAGTATTGTGGTGACCAGTCGATGTCTGCTGGAGCGAGTAGGTTGAAGCAGTTGAGTAAATTCCGTTTCTGGTCTGTAGTTTCGCAGTGGGGTTGTGTAGAGTGGTCAGTGTATGGTTCGTAGAGTCGAGTCGAGTGGGATGGAGGCTGTCCGGTGCTCTTGTCGTGACAGGTGTTCCGTACTTTGCTGGAGCGAGGTTCAGTGTGACATTTGTCCTCCAGAATTGTACTCCCCCTTAAAACACATGAACAAACATTAATTTACTTCTGTGTACTTGCTTTAGTCCGTCATTTCATCAAGACCCTTCTTCCCAATTACTTTTCAGCTAGAAAGGACGATGATCAGGGGGTTGACATCGGTTTCAACTCATCTTATGTGCATCTCAGTCTTACTGTGCATTACAACGTGCTGTTGTCTTACAAAGATGGAAACGTTTCCAACAAGAGCCCACAATAAAAAACAAAATAAACTAGTCTACAAGAAAGAAAAAAGTAATTGAAAATCACTAAAATGAAAGAAGTACACAGTACAGTGGCATGAAACATGCAGAAAACATAGCAGTTAGCAGGTCAGGCGCTTAAATGAAATACAGGAAATTGGAGAAGTTTCTTTAAAAAATGCTCTTAAATGTATTTTTCTTTATTCTTTTTAGAATATTTGTTGTTCTAAAAAAAGACCAGTAAGCTGAAACTGTAGGATTTTAAAAGATGAAGTAAAATAAAATACAATACAATATTTACCTTCAGTAGCCTTCACAGGACCGATGAACAGGAGGACGACGACGAGTGCAACCTGAACACCCATGTTGGTCATTTTCTTAAAACGTTTTTGGTACTTTTTCCTACTTTTCCTGAGCTTTCTACTCTATAGGTGAGATTTGTGAGCTTATCCACTACAAGATCTGAAACGCATCAAGCTGACTGTTGAGTTAGAACATAAAGATTCAAAGAAGAAGACTTTATGGCTCTCTCTCTGAATCTCGTCTCTCTCTGCTATCTTTCTCTCTCTCTTCTCGTCTCTCTTCTCTCTTCTCCCTGCTCTCTCTCTCAGCACGCGACACAGCAACACACACACACACGGTGCACCCCACAGGAAGCGTTTTTTCAAGATGAATTCACAGTTGAACCTCAAAATGAAGTCAAACAGAATGAGTATGGTGTACAGCATTTCCTTCTGATAGTTTTTTTTATGTTTATTATGTTTTTATATATTCAAATGTATTTGATTTTTACATTATCTTGCATTCTTTTATCTGTGCTCAGGTCTCACTTGAAAATGAGATCTAAGAGTTTTTTTTTCCATTGCCAATTTGCATTTCTATACTGAGTTCACGTTTTCAAAACCCCTCACACACAGTCAGCACAACAGAACACATTTGCTTTTTGTTGCATTGCAGGATTTACTGTAGTCTAGTAAAAGAAAGCCTGCTGAAGCACATTGCAGCCTTTCAGATTCATTTGTGTGCTGCAAGGTAGCACAATCTATGCAATACTGAGGAGTCCTTCCTTGTATTGTAATGGAATCTTTGTTTATGCAAATGTAACATTATATAACAACAATCTTTTTACAATTGCTAAGTCGCATGTCTCTATACTGAGTTCACGGTCCTCACAACAGAAGTCAATGTGGACAAAATGGTGGATCACTTTTTGTTGCTGTCACACAAAATGAATTCAAAGACCACATATTTTTAAAATGAATAAGGTGTTTTCTCGGTGCATAAAGTCCTAATTGGGACATAGAACACTTATTTTAATTCTTTGATGGCAGAATCAACAATGTTTTGTAACTGTATGGGACACAGTGGCGTCTCACCATTCTCTTCCAGTCACAGACTGGTTTACGGCCCTTCTCAGGATGGTGTTGCATTTGCCTCCACCTTGCTCTCCAGTTCTCAACCCCATAGACGTATTCTTTTCCTCAGAGAGGTAGGAAGTTTAGGACCACAGTCTGCGTGATAAGATGTCCCTCTTTCACACAACGAATGCTGGATGTCTGAACATTTCTGGAGAAGATTGCCAAGGAAGGATGAGGCAACAAAAAGAGTCTAGAGAGTGTATTAGAAGAGAGGACATAAGGAGATAGTTTTTCTTTTGCAAGATTAATAAATACATGCCAGCATACATATGTACATACATGCAAACATACATATTACATGCATAATACATGACAAAGATGAACGCATATGATCAAAAAAACCCAAACAAAGCTACAGACCATATATTTGTATGTGTATATAAACTGTTCATAGGCTGCTGTATTTGAAAATGATAGCAGATGCTGATTGGTCACTGTGCTGCTTCTTTGGTAAAATGTTTGTTCAGTTTATTGTTTTATGTCACAGCTCATGAGCTTATATGTTTGCAAGTTCTAAAGCTGACACGGAGCTGAAACTCCTAGGCTCCAGTTAAGGTTGTAAAGAGGAACTTTTCTGGTTGAGTATTGAGATCATACACCTTTGCGAAGTTAACATAGCTGTAAAGGCGCTTGTCATTTTACAGTTACACATTTTGACTCAGTAAGATTCAAACGTAAAGAAAATATACTGACATTTCAGCCATAAAAGTTGAAAACCAGCCTTTTTGATCTTTCTGGCTGGCTTCAGGCTCGAATTACAGAGATGGTGTACATCAAAGTGCAGCTCTGCCCCCAAGTGGTTCAAAACAGTAACGATCCAGTTTCACATGACACTGTGCAGCTCTCTGTTGGTCTCCCATTAGAGAAGAAACATTCAAATTCACATCTCACAGTTTGTTTGAACAGTGAAGACAGATTAATCCAATCAGCATCCTCTTTGTGCTTTTTGACACAGAGCACTGGCTTATTATTACAATTTATTTTAACCTGCAAATGAATTCCCCTTCTTTAACCATCTCTCTGGGATGAACTAATGTGACTCAATTAACTGACTTGAACTTTTAAATTTAATTAAATTTCGTCAAAACGAGGTCAGTAATGAATACAATTTGACCCATTAGATCTCATTGTGATATTATAATATTAAACATGTGAAAACCATGCTGTAGCCTACAATATGAGGCCATAATGTGTCACATCATTAAGTACAGTCATTAAGTACCTTAATGGTTCCATAACTATATATCCCATTTATTGTATCCTCACACATCAGATCATGTAACAGATGATGCTTGGTATCTGCTGCCTATCACAATAGTAATGGACATGCGTTTGCGCAACAGCTTTGGTATGGCCTCACACATGTGTTTTACGCAGCAGTAGAACAGGTTGGGTGACCATCAAGAATTCGGCTTTAGATTTAACATGTGAGAGAGAGAGATAAGAAGGCAGCGAGGAGAGTGGATGACTTTGTTACTCCGCCCGAAAATGTGGTGGGAGGGTGCTGAAATGAAATGTATGAGGGCAGCAGCGAGTTGGGACGCGTCTTTGGAGAGACAAGGTAGAGGAGAGGACTCTTAGGGCCGTTTAACTTCATGTTTTTATCCCCCCCTCTCGAAACAAAGAAATCAACAGACTTGTCGGCCGGGTTTTCTGTCTCTGTGAGTCGGCGGAGGAGTCTCAGCGGGTTAGGTGTCTGACTCCCGGTCTCTTGGTCATCGGACAGCCTGCCATCCATCCAATGTGCGTAAAAGGGCTCTATTTCCTCACAGTCCTGTCTGGACTCGCAGCTTCAGGTGAGACCCCGGCTTAGTGTGAGTGGATAAACCGAGTGAAAAGATGATTTCCAGTTAATGGGGTTGGAGTGTTGTTCACTTTATTTCTTCTGGGCATCATACAGAGTAATGTGATTTATCCAAGTGAATGTTTTAAATTAGAATTTTGTTTAAAGTTAACCAATAACACATTGTTTTGATCGCTAGGTATATGTTCAACCTATATGTCTTATATTTATAGATATATATCCAATTACACGAATGGTATTTCCTCTATAATTACATACAATATAAACTAGCCTATGTGTGTTTGTCAGTGTATTTTAGGATCTGTTTTTTTAAAGTTTACATTGGCAGTATTTTTTCACATCCCAGGAGTGTTGTTAAGACAGGATGAGCGTTTAGAGACGCTCCCGACAATCGAGTAAAAGAAGAAGACCCTGATTCTCTTTTCCATTAGTGAAGGCTCCGCAGGGACCCCTAAACTCCATCTCTGAGCGCCCGGCGTGCGTCATTGGGAAGTGGACAACTTGGCACCGGGAGGGTCGCGGAAGAGTTCCTGAAAGCTTTAAAACAGCCATAGCGGGGGGAACTTCTGACAACAGAATGAGTTTAGCCAACAGCATTTACTGGCATCAAATCCGTGGCCGCATTGTTGTGTTGGTTTTATGTAACCTCCGTATCCGTGCTTTGAAGTGGCCCCCTTTGGACGCAGATAAGTCCAAGTGCTTCCCGTACAAGGGGGTCCAGGATATGTAAGTTGGAACATCTAGTCAGATACCAACAACTATGGAAAATAAACACCAACGGACCATACATGATGGTTATAGCTGCTCACAGCTGCACTAATGGAAAACGTTTTAATATCACAAACTGGCGTATCAGTGGCAATTCATTCAGGTTGTTTAACCTTGAAGTAATCTGTGTCCATCCCAGTTAAGTGGATTATATTGATTGAACATGTCCGTCCACTGCCAAAGCACCATGTAGGGATTCAAGATAGTAGCAAGCTGCTTATGTTTACAAGGAGCATGTGCCTGCAGCTCAGTCATAACACAGTCACAGGCTGACAGAGCAGGATGATGACTAAATATACTGTGTGGATATAGAGGGACAGATAATCAAATAACACAGCATGTGGACGAAGAAAAGCATGTTGGAACCGATTACAGCTCAGCAGCTTCTCGGTTCTCATGTCTGTTATGCAGTAATCACTTCCATTGCCTTTGGCTTTGTTGTGTTGGCAAAAAAAAGAAGGCATGGCATGATGAAACAAGCCGGCAGATCCATCTTCATTTTCATGGGACTTGTATGGTGTAAAATTGCAATTATGTGTGCGAAATAATTCAGATTTATTTCTTTCACTAGCCCCCATCTCTCTCTCTCTCTCTTCAGGTGTAAACTGTGGCATTAAAACAGCACAGAAGTGACACATTTGCCCATCACACCTCCACTGTTTTGGCGTGCATTGCACTGATCAAAGACAGGCAGTGTTCATTTACTACAAAGAGCTTAATGTTTCAGTGGTTCATTGCTCCCAAAGATAAATGCACTACTCCTTTGTGTATTTTGTAGTAAGTGTGTTTGGCAGGAGTTTAAAAAAAATACTATAAATCATAATTTGTGTCAAGACACTTTTGGGAGCAATGTTTTTGTTTTTCACAGCACCAGAATGGAATTGCTTTCTGGAACAGATGTGATCATTACCAGATTTTGACATTTTTTTAGTATTCGTGAGGTGTGCTGGATGCAATGGTAAAGCAGGTTTAGTAAAAAGCTCTTGTGATTCCTTACTCATGGAGGTGAAGGCACACCACCACTAGTAAAGCAGAACATCTGGGCACAAAAATTAGAAAAAAGAAGATTAGTTGATGTAATTTTGTCATATGCCCCTTTAAAATGTTAATTTACTTTTTAAAATGGTTGCAACCATGCTTTGTTTACGTACCCATTCACCTCGAAGTTGCTCGCAAATTACACACAAAGACCCAAAAAACAACTCATACTGCTTTTGCTGAAGTAGTTTTCTGTCATATTCAGGCAAGGAGTGTGAGCAATAAAGGTCTCAAAAGTAGATTTTGATACAGGACCGCTTTGCAAGACAGAAGATAAAGCACGCACTTTAGTTGATATTATA